TCTTGTTTTACAAGTTAATAACTTCATTAACTTAATGAAAAAATAAAATTAGAATATCTCTATATTCTCTAATTTATTTTTCCTTCTTAATTGTACATTCTAACTCTAATTCTAAATTTTTAATTCACATCAAAATTGGTTTGCGACTCCAATCTTAGAACCCTAAATTTCTAATTTGTTCATAAAATGATATTTTGATTCTCCTAAGCAAGCCTTAAAAAAGCGCCATTCAAGAAATAAAACTTCATAATAAAACTAGTTTTAATATTTTGCTATTCTTATATATCTTGTTGAGGAATTTTAAATTTTGATTATAAATGCTTCTAATCAGTTCTAGTGATATTTATTTTAAATTTTATTTACTTTTAACAAGGTTTAAAAAATTGGATTGAGTTGTTGGTGCACTATAAAAAAAACTAGTTTTAATATTTTAGAATTACTTGTACTGTACTTCAAACTTAGATCCATCTTTTATTATCCTTAGTGCTTCTGGTGATGTAACTAAGAAAAATTTTTGGATTTTTTCAATCTTTACAATGTATAAGAACATTTATAATTTGTGTTTTTTTTTTCAATTGTGTTTCTAGTGATTTAGATGTTAATGGATTTTATAGTTATATAATCTACTCAATGTTAAAATTTTTTATATTATCTCATATATTTAATTATGGTTAGATACTCTTTTTAGTCTTTCTACTATAGGAAAAAGCCTTTTTTTAGTCCATATACCAAAAAAATCCTCTTTTTGGTCCTTAAATTTTAAAATATGACCCATTTTTAGTCCTTCTGTTAAATTTTGGCTGATGTGGCAGGTTAATTAACAAAAAATTTTATTTATTTTTTTACTTAAATTACATGGAAAATCATTTCACAAAAGTTGATGATAAGGCTAACTTGTCTTACCTTTAATTACTTATTTATCGCCCATCTTCTCCTTCCTTCTGCCTTTCTTTTTTTACCTCTAAGTGAACCCAAGAGCCGGGTTCATCAGGAACCCGGGTGCCTGGGTTCGTCGTGAACCCACGAGCTCCTTCCATAGTTACCCTTGTTTAAGAGGTAAGCACAAAAAAATGTTAGTTGGTAAGATTGGAGTGATTTGGTTGGATGATTTTGTGATCAATTGAACACCATGACTTGGGTTAATTAATTGTTTCTAACAGTTTCTTCCTGAAAAGAAGCTGAATAGTTTTTTTGGCTTATGAGATACAATCAACAGCTTAAAGAAGAAACAAACACACATAAAATATACAATCAATTGTGAATACCATTCTCATCCTCTTCAGGAACACAGGAGGCTTCCCTTCTTGCTTCAACAACCTATCCCACCATTTCTTTTCTGTTTTCTTTACAACATATAGCTTAAAGAAGAAACAAACACACATAATATATACAATCCATGGTGAATACCATTCTCATCCTCTTCAGGAACACATGAGGCTTCCCTTCCTACTTCAACAACCTATCCCACCATTTCTTTTCTCTTTACAACATACACAATAAACCGATGTCTCGAACCTAAGAGCCTGGGTTCATCGCGAACCCAGGAACCCATCTTCTTCCCCATCCTTTCTTTTCTTTGTTTTTTTTTTTTTTTTTCATTTTTTTTCTTTTACCTCCAAGCGAACCAAGAGTTGGGTTTGTCCTGAACCCAGGCGCCTGGGTTAGTCATGGGTTCCTGGGTTAGCGAGGAACC